CGGGCCCACCCAAAAATTAATATATGTGGTGATATAGCGAAATACGTGTTTGTGACGTTTTAGCCATTTGAGACAACTGCAGTGGTGTATCATAAATGTAATGGATGCAATATTTTGACCAGTTTCTACCATCATCGCGTTTTTTTCTCGCCACTGATGCTACTAATAACTCTTCCCTCCATTTTGGACCTTACGCATCACTTATTCCCTTATAAATGTTCAAACACAATCTTCAAATTTCATGTAAATTTTCAAAATGAAAAAAGAAAAAGTAGGATAATAATGCTCGAAATAAGTCAAAACGAAAATCTAAACTAATACCAAATCTTATCAGTTGATTGCCATTTTGGAAAACTGTTGCGTTGGCGTGGGCTTCATAGAAAACATAGCTTGCTCAGGCAATAGATACTGAAATCGACCTTTTTGGCGAATGAAACCGCGAACAAATTAATATTACTTACTTTCAGTACGATAACATGATTGGCAGAATTAGCTTTAATTAGCTTTTTTATGCTTTTTACATTAAAAAATAAAATTCTGCGAATAGAAATTATTGTTTGTTTTGCTGAAATTCGAGAAATTCGTTTGTTGGTGAGTGATTCGTAAGGAAGTAAGCGACTTCTTGGGCGACTTCCGAACAGATAGTGCACATATATCGAACAGGCAACGAATGCTAACTAGAACTACATAGCGCAGAATTACAAAAGGACTGGTTAAGACTGAGCACTCCAGTAACATCACTAGCATAGGATTCCCATAACGACTGTTGGTTGATTCTGGTGCTTTTGATATTTTCGGCCAAAAGTTTTCTTGTTTTTTCAGGTGGAATACTGTTATCCGGCCTTAACCGGTAGTGCTGGAGAGTTGCCAGCCGCGTGGCAGCATTTACCGTCGCTTGCACTACCCGATGGCGCCCATAATGTCGACCATGGTTTGAACTATCCTTCACTAGTTTCCTGTTTTGTTTCATTCTTTTCAACTGTTGAAAAAAAGCGCCTGAAATTATTGAAGTGTGTTAATAATTCACGTGATTATTCTTCCATTTTCAGACGTTATATATTTTTTGTTACCCTCGTTGGATAATCCGAACCGATCAGTTTTTGGTATTTCCTGTTATCGACAAATTCTTGCCAAGGTTATAATTTCCACCACTTTTTCGTGTGTTTTCTTCGGTTCGGTCAGTTTTCATTCCGTTACTGCACACAGTCTATACACTGAATACACGAAAGCAAAAAACATTAGATAACTGATGGCACATACCAAAGTTATTGGTGCGGTCATGCGTTTTTACGCGATTTCATACAACAATAAGTTCTTTTACAGTAAAAGGGTTCACTGCTTCACTGATTTGTTATCTGCACTCATTTTGAAGATTTTTTCTTCAAACACTAAGATATTTTTATTGGTTGAACTTTCTTCCACGGTTAAGAGAAGTAATCGTCGGCTACTTCGGCTTTATTTCACTATGAGATCTCGCGAAATTTTAGCTTTCTAACTTGTCTGATTACCGCGATAGGAAGATTTGCAAATGACTTTTCACATATACACATGGGAAACATAATTGTACGTGAAAACTCATTCTGCAACTGTCTGACCACACAGGAACATCAAACATTTGCGTAAAAAAGTACAGTTTTCTGCTCGGTCTCGTTCCAGTGTATTCGTATACAAGAAGTATGCTAGGTTCCATTTCCGCAGAACATATAGTTTTTTTTATACGTCTTTGCATATATGCAAATTCCAAAAACGCATATTGGGAAGAGGCTGTCTGGATGTGTATGTCTGTGTGTTCGCACTTTTCGTCACTCATTTTCAACTCGAGAACCAGAAAAGCTAGAAAGCTAAAACTTCGGAAGTATGTGCCCACACATTGCGTGACCCTCCCATTTTAATATCATTACTCACATACGTCGGGGTCTCAGGTACGAACGCCTCAAAAAGTATGAAAATTTTTGACGGGAAACGAGAGAAGGTAGTGAGCCGAAACTTGGCAGGAATATTCTCTACACATCCTTGAGCTTAAAATTCCAGGTTCGGCCCTCTAGTTTTCCTTATTTCACAGATACGAGCACGTGGAAATCTTGGCGGGAAAATTGCTAACTCGGGAATTAGAAAATCTGGAAAGCTGAAATTTTAGGGGAATATTCCCTGTCCAAATATTCCAAATTTAGTTTCCAGTTATGCATGCTTCTCGCGTACGGGCACTTGAACTTTTTGGCGGGGAAATTGCTTATTGAACAGCTAGATCATTTTCAAAGGACGGCCACTAAACGGTACTTTTTTTTTTCGTTTATGCAAAATTTACGATAATGTACAGTATGAAGGCATAAGATAGATATGAAGCAACAACCATGACAGTTAACCAAATTACTTCAAGTATGGTGCGAAAACGCATGATCGCACTGACAAACTTACTGCCTTCCAGCTTGAGTTTAATATTACTCCACTGAATATCTGCATAATTTATTATGCGTTTTTTGCATCCATATTCTCAAGGGGTTGCCTGTATGTATATATATATATATATATATATATGTGTGCGCATCTGTGCCGAGTTTTCGTCTCAAGATCTACAAAAGCCACAAGGCTGAGACTTCGCCAACTTTACCTACACATACGTGCGGCCCATACCCTTAAATTGGATGTCCATTTCTCCGTGATTCTCATGTGCGAGCACGTGAAAATTTTTTTTGCGAGAAAGTGATTTCGGAAACGGCGCAAAACAGGAGGTTAAAACTTCAGAAACATGTGCCTTAGCCACGTCTAATCCAGAGATTTCAAATTCAGTCTTCACGCATCCTCAGGTCTCACGTATGCACACATCAAAGTTTAAACTGACATCGTACCAATCCCAGATTTAAGCTAACCATAAAGTTAGTAGAGAGTTGTAATTTGCAGCGTTATTTGTCATGCCCGTGAAAGTAAATTGAGCTTTCCAGTCCCCATGTATCTCACATACGGACACGTGAAAGTTCCACGCAGACACTTTTGTAACTCCAGAACTGAAGCACGTAGAGGAGTAGAACTTTCTAAACTTAGCCGGCAGCGTCTGACCAGATGGACGTAAAAGCGATTTTCATATCCTTTTCATGCCTCACACACGTACACGTGAAACTTGACGTAACTCCGCAACTAAAGCGCCTAGAGTGTTGAATTTTTTTGAGCAAAAATTGAGAGTCACTCTAATAATTTCTGACATTCATGGTGGGCAGTGTCAGTTCTTGTAGCTAGAGGCATTTACCGGGAAAAACAGTGCCGTTAGCAGCAAGAACCCGCGGGGGAGCTTTGCAAAAAACACGTCTTCGCACCAGCAGAAGATGCGCTGACTAAAGATTCTTTTTTGGGCAGTCTTTTCCAACTCATTTGTTGAAGAGTTTTGGAATCTTTAAATCCAAATGAGTGATGTTCCATAATTTGACGACTGATCTTTCAAATTTTAAGGATCTCTTGAATAAATCAACAGATGTCACTCGAAGTACGGTTCAGAAAAGTGTTTGTGTCCTGTCGCGGATACCTCTCTTTGGTGTTCTAACTGCTAAACTTCAGCTTATCACAGAAGTTTATTTTAACGAAAGAGATTTTGCAAAAGTATGTTATTTTGCTTTGTTGATAAGTCTTTAAGAATGCAGGGCGAACCGAGTGCGGTTGATCTCTAAAGCAGTGAAATGCTATTGGAGAAGGGAAGAAACATGAAAGCGACGAAACTCAAAACTTTGAGCTTTCTTTTTTCTGTAGGTGCATTAGATCAGGAATAAAGGCGAATCACGAAAACTACAGTCGATGGCTAGCAGAACCATAGG